TGTTCCTAGTAGCGATGCCCTTTGCTCCTAGTAGCTTCTTGTTACTACTAGTAAGGCACTTGTTCCTAGTAGCGATGCGCTGTGTTCCTAGTAGCGTCCTTTGGGCTTAGCTCACCTAAGGCGAAGATTGCTTCCGCTGATTTCCCACGAGTTCGTGGCACAAAGTCCGACACGTTTGTGACAGCAACATCGTTGGAAGCCGCAAGGGCTTCGGTTGGAGGCGATGAATGGGACGAATAGTTGAATTCAATAGTTTATCTCTCTCTATATTTTTATGTATTTACTTATTTATAAACATGAAAATTTGAAAACATAGCGACCCGCCCCTGAGTCACAGACTATCACACACTGACTTGCACTGACGTCGCTACAAGTCTTCTAGGGTGACCATCGCTAGTTGGAAGTGACGAGGTTTGCTTGAGTTGGTGGACGAGTGCCTCCTTCGAACCAAAGTTCCTGGCTTTGCACTGTGCCGGCCTCCTGGCCACCATGCGGGGATCAGCAGCAGCACGGGATTTTGCCTTGTCAACAACGTGGCCATTGCGGCTCGCTATGCCCAACGAACGCAACATGTTGCAAGACATGTGGCAACTTTTCAGTGATTTTGGTTTAGCAGAGTTAAATATTACTGTTTTGCCTTTCGCGGAAGCAAAGAACCGCCGCCAACTCCATCTTCCTTATCACCACCTTTCTTCCTAATCATCATCATCTTTCTTTCCAAACGCTCTCGGGAGAGAGACCAGCGTGGACGGCTCCTAGTGGGAGCCAAAAGGAAGATCCTCATGGCCTAGCTCATGCTCCGTGGAGTCTGCACAGATCGACAAAACAATCGAATGAGAGAATGAGAGCGCAAACATAGAATGTATCAAGTCAGAGAATGAGAGAATGAGGCCCTAGTAGCGGCCTGCTGCTCAGGTATCCGGACTTGATCAATCGAGTGATGATTTTTGACTGGGATGTCCACCACGGGCAGGGCACTCAAGAGATCTTCTGGAAAGATCCGAATGTGCTGGTGGTCAGTGCGTATCTCGGCACATGCTTTGGTGTCGATGCTTCTGTGTTTGCCACAAGTGGAACCAATAGCTTCAGGATCGAGAACGGACACTTTATGGAACCAATAGCCCTTGTTGCTAACAATGTTTTTGTTGCCATGAATCCAAGTGTAGCAACAGGTGCATCGCTAGTAGTAACAAGAAGCTATTAGAATTAAATTTGCACGTCCGCAAAGGATGACACGCACAAAACGTAAGGTGTACCAAAATGGACACTTGAAACGAACCCAACTGAGACGGTTGGAAGCCGCTTTTGCACAAGCCTGAAAAAGGTCTTCAGGCTGAAACCTTCAGGTTATGAGCCCAAGGTTGAAGGTGTAAGACCCAGCTTGAGGAGGTCGATCGCTGGGCCGCCCTGCGCAAGCGGAAGCCATGGCCATGATGGTTCGCCGACGAAGACGGCAACCTGGCGATGATGGAGAAGGAGAAGAAGCCGATCCGGAAGGCCTCCCACTACATGATCGGCAGCTGGAAGAAGAGCAGCTTGCTCTGGAGGATGGTGAAGATGGTGGGGAAGAGGAGACATTGGAAGGCCCGAAAGGACCGCCTACAACCTTGACACCGATGACCCCACTCTTCACACCGGAACAGCTGAAGGGACTTCATGAAGTGCAGAGCCAAGCTCCTCATATGCTCAAGTCCCGAGGCAGAGCATCTGGCAGCCTGGTCTGGGGAACAGGTCGCCAGAGGAGGTGAAGAAAGAGAGACCCACGTTCCTGCCGAAAGAAGAAGGTCCGGTGGGAGTGCTTCCACAGACGAGCACGACGACGGGGACACCATCACCGGCACTGGTGGGCGATCATGTACCAGATGACCAACGACGTGGACGACCAAGAGAACCACGGGTACCTGAAGTACAAGAGCCTGAAAGTGACAGCGATGGGCAACAACCTCCCAACCTAGAGAACAATCGGTGGCTCAGATCCAAGGGAACGGACCGGGAGGAAGAGGTCTACATGTTCCAAGAGGCTTTGGACAAACTGGCCCACCTGGGTACATCATGCCCCATGAAGAGAGGAGGGGACCGGGGACCTATGCCGCATCAAGGAGGATGGCAAGTTCAGCTGCATCCCTATGGCCCTGGTCCGCCGAATCCACAGGAGATGATGACCATGTTGGCGATGTTGAAGCAGGAGAATCAACAACTGCAGATTCAGCAGGCAGAGCTCATGGACGCCATGAAGTACCAGAGGGCAAGCCTGGAAGCCAAGGTCCATGATCTACAACGTGAGCTGGAGCAGCAGGCCTTCAGAACGCCAGAAAGCGATGAGCCTGTGAAGCGTCAGCTGGAATTGACGGTCGACGAACCTCTGAGGGAGACAGATTTGGAGGTGGAAAGACGCCGGCTGTATGAGTTGACTCCCATGCAACAGTTCGAGCAGCTCCAATCCTTGATGGGGACGGTCACTCCGGCGCCAGCAAAGCGAGGTGGTCGGGGGCAAGGACAACGAGAGAGGTCGAGATCTCAAGGTCCGAGAACTGCACGTCAGGGAGGAGGTCAACCTGAGGGCTTGGTGGCATCTCGGGCGAAGGGCTTCGAACCGGAGGGGAGACAAGGGACCGGGAAAGGTGTGGGTCAGCCAAAGAAGAAAGCCACAACTGCAAATGTTCGGGAAGAACAATCAAGAGAGCGCAGTGGTGGCATGGCTGATGCGATGTCTATGCTGATCACCTACCTGGTCGACAAGGACAAGAAGCAAGAAGGACCGGAGTCGGTCAAGCCGGGAACGGCCACACTTCCGGTCCTGGCAGAGCCATCCGATACGGCTCCCATCGACCTCGCTGACTGGCTCACTATGGTGGAACCGGCAATGGCAGATCTTAGCGACTCGTCAGGCGAGTGGTGGGAGTTGGTGGTGAGCGAAGCAAGGGCCTGGTACAAGCAGTACATCAAGCTTCGCCCAATTCAGAGGGCATCATCCAAGATCGAGCCGTCTGCTGAGTTGCAAAAGCCAAAGTGGGC